CAGGATACAGCTGGGATATGAAGTAAATAAACTGTAACTAATATAAAAAATAAAAATTTAATTAAAAAAAAGAATTTTTGGAAACAAAGAGAGCCAGGCTCTGCCTCAAGAAGGTGGAAGGCAAAAACTAGCTTCCAAAAAGTTGTCCTCTGCCTCCCACCCACATGCTGAGCTGTGGAGCATGAGCCTGAATGTACACACACACACACTCTCTCTCTCTCTCCCTCTCTCTTGCGCGCGCACGCGTGCTCGCATGCATAAAACTAAACAACAGTCCATCGAGCTGGTTCAGCAGGTAAAAGGACTTTCCAGGTAAGGACTTTCCAGGTAAGTGTAATGGCCTGAGTTGGACCCCCAGAACCCAAGGACAAAGGAAAAGAACCACCTTTCAAAGTTGTCCTCTGACTTCCACAGGAATCCCGTGTTACACTTTAAAAAAACACATATAAATAATGTCTTAAAGCATCACGACCAAAAGCAACTTGGAGAGGGAAGGGTCTGTTTCACTTCACAGCTCTCAGATAACAAACAGCCTGGCACTGAAAGAAGCCAGGACAGGAGCTCAAGGCAGAACCTGGAGGCAAGAACTCAAGCAGAAGCCATGGAAGAACACTGGTCTCTGGCTCAATCATCTCTTCTACAGTCCAGGACTGGGACCACCTCCAGTGACCTGGTCCCTCCTGCATCAGTCATTAATCAAGAAAAATATCCTGCCAGGCTCGGTGGCACACGCCTTTGATTCCAGCACTTGGGAGGCAGAGGCAGGCGGATCTCTGTGAGTTAGAGGCCAGCCTGGTCTACAAAGCGAGTCCAAGACAGATAAGGCTACACACAGAGAAACCCTGTCTCAAAAACAAAACCCAAATAAATAAAAAAAAAAATGGCCTTACAAGCTTGCGTATAAGCTAGTCTTCTGGAGGCATTTTCTTAATTAGAATTCCCTCTATCTACATATATCTAGGTTTGTGTCAAGTTGACAAAAATCAACCATCATACATAATATTAAATGTAAATATATATTAAAAACAAGCAAATTGGGTGGTAGTTGTGCATGTCTTTAGTCTCAGCACCCAGGAGGCATAGGCAGGCAGATCTCTGAGTCTGAGGCCAGCCGGTCTACAGAGTGAGTTCCGGGACAGCCAGGACTATACAGAGAAACCGTCCCCCCCCCCCAAAAAAAAAATTCTCTTAAATATCCATCACAGTTAGATGGAAAATGGTACCCTGTATAACCTTGTGCTGTGATATTATTACTTGGCCATAAAAAGAAAAGAATACTGATCATGCTATAGCATGGGTGAACCTTGAAGATATTGTAGTAAACAGTAGAGGAAAGGAGGCAGATGCAAAAGGGCTCATATTTTATGATTCTATTTGTTTGAAATGCCTGGATTTGGAAAATATATAAATCAGAAAGAAGAACAGTTGCCAGAGGCTAAGGATGAAGTGGCTGGATTTAGTAAAGTGGAGAGAGAAAGGTTTAAAACGTGAGGCATTCCATCACACACGCCATACATCAGGGTGGCTTCTTTCCCAAAACAAACAAGAGAATATGGGTGAGCGTGATGATTGTCACCCAGCTCCCAAGAATATACCAAAAACCAGGCAAACACTTTCAGTGAGTATGAGGTGTAGCATGTGAACTGTAGTTAAATAGAGCTGTCGGAGAAAGAAAGGACAATTATGTTAGTATTCTAAGCGAAGCCCTTCAGAACCCCCTCATTGTACTAGACTACACGCGACTGCCCTCATGGAAAACACAGGGCCGGGGATGCTCAGTTGAAGTGCTTCTCTGGCATGTATGGAGTCCTGGGTTCAAGCCTCAGCAACACATAAAGCAGCCTGAAATCCTAGCATTTGGGAGGTAGAGGCAGAAGATCAAAAGCTTCAAGGTCTTTGGCTACATAGTAAGTTCCAGGCCAGCCTAGCTACATGAGACCCTGTCTTAAGAAACAAAGGTAGGGCTAGAGAGATGGCTCGAAGTTTAAGCGTACTTGTTGCTCTTGCAAAGGACCCAGGTTCAATTCCCAGTACCCACCTGATGGCTCACAGCCACCTGTAACTCAGTTCTAGGGAAGCCAGTGCCTTCTCTGCCCACCACGGGCAGTAGGTGCGTGGTGCACACACATATACTCCGGCAAAACCTTCACACATAAAATGATTTAAAAATCTCAAAAATAAAAAGGGTGGCTGAAGCTATGGCTCAGCCGTTCGGAGCCCTGCTGCTCTTGCAAAAGACCTGGGTTCAATTCCAGGAACCCACATGACAGCTTTAGAGCATCGGACACCCTCACACAGACATGCAGGCAAAACACCAATGCATATAGAAATAAAATTGTAACATATAAATAAATAAAAGGTGGCCAAGGTTAAAAATATCAGGCTAGGCATAGTGGTACAGGCCTTTCATTTTAGAACTTGGGAGGCAGAGATTTTTTTTTCAAGTGTGTGGTGAAGACGCACACCTTCAGTCCCAGCACTTTGGAGGCAGAGGCAGGTGGATCTTTGTGAATTCAAGGCCAGCCTGGCCTACACAGTGAGCTCCAGGACAGCCAGGTTTACACAGACAAACCCTGTCTTAGAAAAACAAAAACAGGGGCTGGAGAGATGGCTCAGAGGTTAAGAGCACTGGCTGCTCTTCCAGAGTTCAATTCCCAGCAACCACATGGTGGTTCAGAGCCATCTGAAATGGAATTTGGTGCCCTCTTCCGGAGCGCAGGTGTACATGCAAACACACATTGTATACATAATAAATAAGAAAAACAAAAACTTTTTTTTCATGAACATGAGTGTTTGTGTGTCTGGGCACCAAGTGTGTGCAGCGCCCTCAGGGGTCAGAGAGAGCATCAGACCCCTGAAACGGGTTCCAGATGGTTGGGAGTCTCTATGTGGGTGCTGGAAGCTGAACCCAGGGCCTCTGTGAGAGCAGGTGCTCTTAACCACTGAGGCGTCTCTCCAGCCTCACGATTTTTTGAAAGGAAGACTTGCCCTCCCCTCTTGTTACTTTTCTTGCTTCTTCAGCTCAGCCATACCAGCTGTGACTGAGGGACACAACCACACTGCTCCATTATGGCATCTTTACTCCTGTTCCCTCGTTATGTGTCTTCTCCACCAACCCTCAAGTTCAGGCTGGCTCTGAACTTCTGGACTCAAATGGTCCTTCTGCCTTGGACTCCTAAGTAGCTAAGGCTATAGGTGTATGTTGCCACATCCACCTTTTTTTTTTTTTTTTTTTTTTTTCTGCTCTAAGGATATGGCTCGATGGTAAAGTGCTTTCCCAGCATGCCTGGGGCCCTGGATTCAACACCCAGGGGACACACACATATCAACAACTAATGTCACATTCTTTTTTCTTTCTTTTCCCTCTCTCTCTCTTATTCTTTGACAAGGTCTTTCTTTGTAGCCCAGGCTGGCCTCTAACTCACAGACGGGGGTCCACCTGCCACTGTGTCTGGGGTGCTGGGATTAAAGGTGTGCACCACCACACCTGAACATCCCCAGCCCTCTTAAGACAGGAGTTCACTGAGTGGCTCTGGCTGGTCTAGAACTCATTCTGCAGCCCAGGCTGGCTTTGAACTTGCAATCCTCCCACTTCAGCCTCCAGAGTGCTGGCATTGCAGGTCTGAATCAACAAGCCCAGTTTTAGGAAAAGAATATTCATGGCTCTGATCTGAACAGGTTAGTAGATTTGATCCATTGAAAAACATGTTGTTACATCTCCCTCTATTTGTGTGTGTGTGTGTGTGTGTGTGTGTGTGTGTGTGTGTGTGTGTGTATCTTTGCCTTTGGGAGTGTTGTGCATCTTATTTATGCAGGAGCCCATGTTGCAGAAGAGGGTGTCAGATCTCCAGGAACTGGGGTTATGGGGAGTTGTGAGTGCTGACGTGCCAGTGCTGGAAACCTGTCCTGGGTCCTCTGCAAGAGCAGCAAGTGCTCTTAATGGCTGAGGCTTGTTCCAACCCTTTTAGTATTTCTTATGCCATACTTCTTGAAGGCAGTTTTTCCATGCTGTTCCATCCCAGACAAGGGAGGTTGGGGTCACAAACAGGCGGACAATAGTACATATTCAGTGAACTTCTGGGTTAAAATGGAGGAAAAACATGTAGTAGATGAAAAAAAAGGAGGGGGGGTGCTGGAGAGATAGCTCAGAGGTTAAGAGCACTGGCTGTTCTTCTAAAGGTCCTGAGTTCAATTCCCAGCAACCACATGGTGGGTCATAACCATCTATGATGAGATCTGGTGCCCTCTTCTGGCCTTCAGGCACACATGCAGACAGAATATTGTATAGATAATAAATAATCTTAAAAAAAGAAAAAGAAAGGTAGTAAGATGAAAATTTCCATTTTGGCCTGGCGCGGTGGTGCGTGGCTATACTCCTGGCACCACGGAGCCTGATGCAGAAGGATTGTGAGTTCAAGGCCAAGTTGAGCTTGACAGACACCCAGTCTTCAAACAAACAAAAAACCAAAACAACAACAACGCACGCTCGCCTTTCTTCCCCCTTAAGTTGGCTCTCTGGAGTTTGGGTGTGGCAGGGTGCGGGGTTCCAAGGCATCAGAGCCGGGAAGAGGCGTGGAAAGAATGGCCGGCTGTCCCACTTTGCTACTTGTGTGTTTTGGCGGGGGAGAACCAACCGTGGCACCGTCCCCGGTGTCAGCCCGCTCATTCCGGGTAGTGAGGTGGACCTGTCAAAGGCGCCCCGCGTCCCGCGCGCACCCGGGCCCTCCATCACTCCGGGGGCAGTGACACAGCCAGTGAGCGGACTCCGTTTAAAGAGTTCCAGGACGAGAGTGGAGCCAGGCTCACCCGACAGCACCTCTTCGGGCAGGCCGCAGCGGGGAACCGTCCCTCGCTCCTCCTCCCGTCCCGCGCGGGCCCCTGCTCCGGCTCCTGGAGCTCTGCAGAGTCTCGCCGGGGCGCTGCAGCGAGAGAGCTGCTCGCTCACCAGGACCCGGCCGGCCGGCTGCGGGAGCCCGGGCAGCATCGCTTTGCTTGACATCATGAACGGCTCGGGCGGCCAGGGCGTGGGGGACACGAACCAGGAAGGCGACGGCGGCCGGCAGCCCGAGGCGGTCCTCGTCCCCCTGCTGTTCGCGCTCATTTTTTTCGTGGGCATCGTGGGCAACGCTCTGGTGCTGGCGGTGCTGTTGCGCGGCGGCCAGGCGGTCAGCACCACCAACCTGTTCATCCTCAACCTGGGCTTGGCCGACCTGTGCTTCATCCTGTGCTGCGTGCCTTTCCAGGCCACCATCTACACCCTGGACGGCTGGGTTTTCGGCTCGCTGCTCTGCAAGGCCGTTCATTTCCTCATCTTCCTCACCATGCACGCCAGCAGCTTCACGCTGGCCGCCGTCTCCCTGGACAGGTGAGCGAACGGTCTCTTGTGTTTGAGAACTAGGTACCAAGGCAGGCGCTTGGGCTGGAGCCGCAACGCAGAGACCCAGGAGGGATGCGCAGAGTGGGTGAGGACAGCGAAATCCCAAAGGGTCCCGAGGCCCCGAAACGCAAGCGGGAGCGAGGAGGAAAGGGATTAAGAGTCAGTGACTAAGAGTCCCCGCATTAACTAGGTCCTTGGACCTCGACGGCTGGAGAGAGCAGCCCCCCGGGGTCTTCACGTTATTATTGCTTGAGCTAAATGCCTCCTCTATGAAACGTTACCGTGCTCCACTGAGGCACTGGAGCTGGAGTAGCAGATGGCAACTGAGCGCAGGGAAGCGCCTGCTTCTCGGCGCCAAGCTCAGGTTGTCTGGCGCCTTAGGCTTAGCACTGGGCTGTGCTTCGGGAAGATCCCTGCTGAAGTCCAGGAGGGAGGGAGGGAGGGTTCCTGCTGCCCCAGAGCGCTCCAAGCCAAAGCTGCCCGGCCAGAGAAGCCAGCGTTTGATGCGCCCCTCCCTTGCTAAGCGACGGAGAAAGAAACTTCCAGAAAGCTCCGGAGGGATCTCGGCTGAAAAAGACACCGGGAACAGGCCCTGGAGAGGACAGCCTTGCCCAGCTTCGTTATTTCCCTCCCCTTTCCACAGCACCAGGACCTCCCCACAGAAGATCAGTGAGGAGAGGGCGAGCTTCATTCTCCCCGCTTCCCACTGCGTGCAGGTCCCCATTCTGCTGGGGACGCAGGAAACTTCAGTTTTCTTTAGGAATTTCCTTGCCGTACCTTGACTCAAGTCTTCTCCAGGTTGTCTGTTAGAGCCTCGGGTACTGGGGACCTGCCTCCCCCGGGTGTCACTGGAGGATAATAATCACTGACCCCGGGAATCCAGGCAGATTTTCCAACTTTCCGCCTTCGGTGGTATTGGGGTGCCCTTCTGCCTGGAGTAGGTTGGCGGCCACATTGCCAGGGACAGCAGAAGAATGGGCTGGATTTTCGCCGGATCCTGTCTCCATTCTTGGATCGGATGAGCATCACGCACCGGCGCTGCCCTCCAGACGCGGGCCATATATCCTTCTGTTGGAGGCCCTTCTGAAGAGCCAGAGGAGGCTTGGCGGTGGGTAGCGGTGAGTCCTCTCTTACCTGACGCCCCCCACTGTCCCCACAGGTATCTGGCCATCCGCTACCCGCTGCACTCCCGCGAGCTGCGCACACCTCGAAACGCGCTGGCGGCCATCGGGCTCATCTGGGGGCTAGCCCTGCTCTTCTCCGGGCCCTACCTGAGCTACTATCGTCAGTCGCAGCTGGCCAACCTGACGGTGTGCCACCCGGCGTGGAGCGCTCCTCGACGCCGCGCGATGGACCTCTGCACCTTCGTCTTCAGCTACCTGCTGCCGGTGCTGGTCCTCAGTCTGACCTACGCGTGCACCCTGCGCTACCTGTGGCGCACAGTCGACCCCGTGGCTGCGGGCTCGGGTTCCCGGCGCGCCAAGCGCAGGGTGACGCGGATGATCGTCATCGTGGCCGTGCTCTTCTGCCTCTGTTGGATGCCCCACCACGCGCTCATCCTCTGCGTGTGGTTCGGTCGCTTCCCGCTCACGCGCTCCACTTACGCGCTGCGCATCCTTTCACACCTAGTTTCTTACGCCAACTCCTGTGTCAACCCCATCGTTTACGCGCTGGTCTCCAAGCATTTCCGCAAAGGTTTCCGCAAGATCTGCGCCGGCCTGCTGTGCCGTGCCCCGAGGCGGGCCTCAGGCCGAGTGTGTGTTCTGGCGCCTGGTAACCATAGTGTGACGGAACGCGAGTCCACAGACCTGACACACGTGAGCGAGGCAGCAGGGCCCCTTGTGGCATCCGCGCTTCTTAGTGCAGAGCATCCAGTGGAGCCCTCGGTCTGTTAAAGGCTCAAAGGGCAGCTGGGCAGTGTGAACTGAGGACACCTGGGGCTAGGTCTGAATGTTAAAGGGTTGCAGCCAAGGACTGAGGATTGTGGGGCAAGTCCTCGAGCCGATTGCTAGAGTGGTGACATATGCCTTCAATCCCAGCACCTGGGAAGGGGAAGCAGGAGGAGCCAGAGCTAAGTCAGCCATGGAGTTTGAGGCCTGCTTCAACTACCAGAGATCCATTTTGAACAGTAATAATAATAATAAAAAAAAAGTTATAAGGCTTAAACCATTTCATATGCTGTGATGCATGTGGGATTTCTGTCAGGAAGCTCCAAACCCCAGGTTTAAAAAGCCTGGGGTTTGCAGGGCCTGGGAGGCTTCTCACAGCCTCTCCTAGCAGCTATGGGGTCCGGTGATGTCCGCTACCCCTCATCCACCTTGGGTGACCAAGAGAAGCAACTCATTTAAGTGGGTTGAAGCTGACGCATGGACAAGAGGCATTACCTGTGTTTGTGTTTCCAGTTTACCCATGCACAGGCCCAGGAGGGCGCTCATCTCCTTCCTGCCCCTGGGGCCTCTTTAAGTCTCAGCATCCTGATTAGCACTTCACTCTTGGCCTTGCAATTGCTTCCCTGCCTGCAGCTGGGCAGGATCAAGCACCCAGCATTTTAGTTCTTGCTTGGGGTCAAAAAGTCACCTTCCAGCAGGTTACAGTCCTCATACACGGCAGAGATTGCTTCCCTAAGCGCCTTTGGGTTGGGGCGAGCTAGTTTGGCAGAACAGGAATGCCCCAGGTTTCACTAACAAACTGGTCTCTATCTGTACCTGGGTTTTTGAGACAAGGCACTTTACATAAAATCATGACAGAGTTTAAAGAGTAGCAAGGACAAAGATGTCCGCAGCTCACATGGAATGGCCTGACTTTGGCCAAAGACACCACTAAAGCACAGGGCCTGCACTCCATCCCCAATTAGAGCCATGCAGAAGAGAAGAAGCTGGGCTGGAGGGATGGCTCAAGGGTTAAGAGCACGGCTGCTTTTTCAGAGGCCCTGAGTTCAACGCTCAGCAACCACAGGGTGGCTCACAACCATCTATAATGGGATCTGATGCCCTCTTCTGGCCTGCACCATAGTGCACACAGAACACTCATAAATACATACATAAAATTTGAAGAAAAAGAAAAACAAAGGCTTGCCTCACAGCGCAGTGTTTCAGATGCTGAAGCGAGCAAGCAAGGACACGTAGGCAGGTTCGGTGGCTGGGGATAGCCCTGAGCTTTGCTTTTGGGTGTTCATGGAACGGAGTGGGAAGGGGGCATGGCGTGGGAGGGGGCATGCAGAGTCGAGGGTGGAGTCCCTGCACAGGGCAACTGCCTCCATGCCGTGGCTGGGTGGGCACTGAGTGGACTGAAGGGCGGTTGTAGTTTAGGCCCTGCTGCTCTGCGCAGGCCCTCCAGGCAGACCCTGATGAAGGCTCTGTGGAGCTCACTCCATGTACCCTTCCTCCAGCTCAGCACCAACAGCTCTTGTCCCAAGCGCCCAGCTACCCAGGGTTCAGCCATTGGTAGAGGGCTTAAGGTTTTAAGCAGTGGGATTTGGGCCCTGCAAGAAACCTGACCCCGTCCATCAGCTTGGACATCCTTCTTCGACCTCAGCTCACCCCTGGAATTTCGGGATGTCATCTGGACTCTGAAAAATGGGAGTGCAGCATAGCATGGCTGGTGCGCACGCAGGTGTTTGTGTCCAGTATACTTAATGTGGTGAGCACCCTGATGACGCAGGAAGGCAAAGGGCTCAGTGCTGAACTGGGGAGGGGGCAGGGCAGCCTTGGCTAGTGCCTGGGTTTCCTGCTGCCTATGACAGTGGTGCTCCCCTCCCTGAGGACATCCTGAGGTCACTGTGTCCTCTGTGTTGATGCTAAGGCTGGTGTGTACCTACCTGTGGGAGGTCAGGGTGGGAACACGCTCAGGCGTCAGCCCTTACCGACATGCTGAGTTTAAGGACACACACATGTGGAGGACGGAGCCTCATTGGAGTCCTTGTGTCCAAACCTGGCTGGATGCTTGTCTAGCCTGAAAAGCTAGTGTGCACCCCTGGCAAATAGTCACACCGCCCTGGGAATCACTCTGGACACCCAGTTCTTCTTCCCATAATCCACTGGCTATCCAGGAAGTGTGCGGCAGGAATTTCAGGAGCATTCTGTACACAGCCCTCCTCCTCATCTCCAGATGCCTTCTTAGGCAGTATTTCCCCCCGGTGGCTACCACAGTTGCATGTGCAAGAATCTCTCTACCAGAACCCTCGTGGGGCTGGCAAACATGGGGGTGGGTCTCCCTGTCCCAGCACAAGAATTGCCTGGGCTCTGCCCATGACACCTCTCCCTGAGCGGACCAGAAGGACCAGGATGGCCATATGGAGTTAACCTGGTCCTAACCTCAGAGACCAACTGCGACTTCGAGCTGCTCCTTTTCCCCGGGGGCCGCAGCGACTGTAGCCTCAGTGTCTACTCTTCAGCAACACTGGTGCTCAGAGCCTGGGTGGGATGTCAGAGAGGAGCCTGGTCTCCAGCCAGTCCAGCATGGGGGTCTGTAGCTTATGAGGCCAGTATGCACCCCTCCGCCACAGCCCGGTCCTAGGGCAGCTAAATGGAGCACAGAGCCGCACAGACTCTCCTTCTCCCGCCAAGTCAATCCACCTCCAGTCTCCCTAGGGGGATCTTCACAGTCCCCCTCCAGTGACAGAGCTGCTCCACAGCAGCTGGCTCTGGTCACTTCAGTCTTTCCTCTCAGAGCAACTGCTCTCCACAGCTGGGCCAGGGGTGACAGACCCAGAGGCTCATTCCCAAAGGCAGCCACTTATGAACAAACCCACCAGAGGCTGAACTGGCAAAGCACCCCAGGAAGCCTGCAGGGGCGCCTCATGGACCCCATGTTTCTAGTGTGAGACAGTACACAGAGATGAACCTGTAGTTATTTCCCTGCCATGAGGTACTGCCAAGTGCATTTATTTCCACAAGGAAAATTCACCTCTAAGACCCCTCTTTAACTCGAGGCCATCTGCTTCCAGAGGCCGGGAACCCATGGATTAGCGCCCCTCCCAACTGCCCCAGAGGCCATCAGAACCCAGCAACTGCCTAGTTTACCCTTTTGCAGCCCCTCCCTTTCAGTCCCACGTGTGGACTCTCGAGAATGTGTCAAGAGAGGATGTGCAGCTCATGTCTTGGAAGCTCAGGTCCCACTCCAGCAGCCCATGCCCTGCTTCTAGGAGCCAGGGTCCACCTGGGAAGAGCTGACAGGGTTTGGCGGAGGGAGGGCATGATATACACCCAGAGGCACTGCGATCTCTCTGCTGCCTGCTCCCTCCACATCCCAGGACATGCCTCTTTTTCCTTCTGGCTCAAGTCCATCCTGGCACGGTTGGTTCCCAGGTAAGCACTGCTGTGAGCTGATGTGTATGAGGGTCTCTTGCCCCTTCGAACCGCTGAGTGCATTGTCTACATTGGTCACCTTGTCTCCCACCCCTCCCCAGTGCAGGCTCTGCTCAGTTCTTCTTCCCATAATCCACTGCTCAGGAAGCCCTGCTCCCTCACCCTGCTCCCCCTCCCCCTCCACTGGTCAGGCCCAGCCCAACCCCCTTCCAGTTTACTTCTTCACCTGCCGCTGCTCTTCCTAAGCACCATGGCTGCCGTCCAGACACAGCCCCATGCCCAGAGGGAGAACCATAGACCTGGTAAGGAAGGTAGGCAAGGGTAAGGCCCATCCTGGTAGTGGAGGGCCACGAGTAGTAGAGCATCGGAGGACTTTACAGAGCAGAGGGATAAGCTGCAGCCACAGCTGGGTCAGACTTGGGTGGTGAGGTGCTTAGGCGCTCAGCGTTTACTTGAGCTCTGGGCCTCACTTGCCCTTCACAGGTAGAAGCAGCTTTGAAGCACCTACATGGCCCTGGGAGAAGCTCATGCCTGACAAAGTTCTCTCAGGGGGTGTTTCCTCCACTGGGGGGAAGCGCAGGCTGTGAAAGCCCCTGGGCTAAGAACCCCTGTCTTTCACCATTCTGCTCTGGGAGAACATTCTGGGGCAGCCAAAAACAGGTCCCTTCCCTGCCCGCAGCTCTCGGAGGAGGAAAGAGTTCAAGGAGGGACTGGGCTACAGCCGCTGACCACACCTTCTTGCTCACACATGTGGCCAGCGCAATGTGCAGTCCGCTGGTGTGCGTGGCCAGTCTGGGTGTGAGCACATGTGAGTCTCACATCCCAGCCCCCGGCAAGGCAGCCTCACATGAGGGACAGCCTGGTCTGTAACAGGGCGGGGCATAGGCCCCATAGCTAAGTGAGAGCTAGGACAGTGTCGCCAGAGAGAAAGGTCAGCTCCATTCTCTAACAGGAGGCTCGTTCATCCTGAGCGCGCCCCTCTGTGTATGAAGACAAAACAAACCATCACCCAAGGGCATCAAAAGGGTCTGCCCTTCTTGAACACAGTCGTTCACTGTCATCCTAAGTAGTAGGGCCCAATTTTACACGCATGAGCCCCCTGTTTGCTTCTGAATTGTCCTCCTTCGTCCCCTAGTTCCCTGTCCCGCATGACTCTGCCTAAAGCTCCTGCAACCACTACTGCATGGCCTGGGCCAGAGAGCCCTGAAGCTGGTGACCAGGAAACAGGTGCCTGAGCAGCTGGCACCTGGAGCAGCTGGCGGGTCAGCATTCCTCCAAACACTTCTCGAAGTGCGCAGGAGCCAAAGTGGCCAGAAACAGAGCACCCCTGCCTCCTGACACCCGGGGACTGCTGGGTGTGAGGACATCCCAGGGCCCAGGGCTGTGAACGCACTAAATCCAAGAGCAGGTCAACCCTGAAGCCTCTGCTCCAGCTCTGCTAGCTGCAGTTCGGCCTGTTTTCTTGAGCCCACTCATGTCTGGACGGAAGGGAGCCCAGGGTGGAGCCTGCCACCCCATTCTTGGTAGCCACACGGCAGCTGGGTCACCGGTCTCTGTCTTCTTCATCATCTCTTGCCTCAGAAGCCACCGGTGGCCCCTGCTGGATGCACTTCCTCGTGAAACCCAAGGCGGAAAAGGACCCTACACTCTGGGTGAGCGCTGTGTGACTGCAGATTGGGCTGCAGGGAAGATGCAAACACCAGGACTAGAGTATTTGGGGACAGCGCTCACAGCTGGGGCACAAAGGTCTCTGTTCCAAAGGACTTCAAACTCACCCGGCTCGGAGGTATGTTAACACTGCTTTATC